ATATGGTTTTTAAACCAATTCCCATCATTTGTTGTGTACATTTGGAACTGACCTACAGCTACTCTAATAGAGATTTCAAGGTAAGGGAGATATTTCTGAGTGGTTTTACCAGTTCCACACTTCCACTGATTGTTCAAGCCCAGGCCTCCCGAATCCTAGTGCATCACTCTATATGTTACAGCACACTGGGTGTCCAAGCTCCCAGAAAAAAAGAACCCATTAAACAGAGCAATACACTCTTGGTCCCTATTTTAAGGAGAAGTGTGAGTTATTAACCAAACAGATAAATAAATATTTATTGCATTGAATGGAAAGGAAGTAAAGTGGGTTGTTTACCAGCCTACTCAGTGAAGGGCACAGAAGAGACTGCCTGATTGCGTGTACGTCCCAAGAGAGGTCCCCTTGACACCTTGGGGTCTTTTATGTCAGTTTTTAGGTGTATACTTAAATGAACGCAAATATAACAAAGGCATTTGAAAGCTGACATTTGTTGACAAACTTGGACTCGTAGTTGTGTGATGTATGAAACAGCCCTCAGGAAATGTGGCCACCATCATTCATAAAGCAACACTTTCCTACAGAAAACTGAAATGATATATATGACATCCCTTTACTCTTCTGCCAGACATAAATCTAAATGTGTACTCTTAGCAGTGTTCCTCCCTGGCCTACTAATTTATATCATGCAAGACAAAAATTTCTGGTTTGAGTGATTTGATAAAAGTACATCAAAAATTCCCCTTTCTGAGTTTGAAATTTTTGAAAGCTTTCAATTACAAAGATATTGAAAGCTATTCATTACAAGCTGACCCACAAAGAAATCATTAAATTCTCCATTATACTTATTAACTGCTAGCTTACAAGACACCAGTTAATGAAATTCCCAGCTGCATTATATTCTCCAAATTATACTCCTGTAAAGATTCATATCCTTTCATCAGCATATCGAGGTCACAGGAAGGTGTAATGGTTCCAGATTCTGACAGATGAACAAGTAGTAAGCAAACATACAGATAAGTCACCTTGCAATAAATCTAATTTCCACTGGACTAAGCACGTTAACTCTGTGGCAGTGAGAATACTAAATAGTTTGGAGTTGTATAGACTGTCAGATTTTATTTTGCAGAAGCTTTGGTGGACAGCCAGCTGCTATTTAAAAGACCTAACGCCATACAAAATCTTATTTCAAAACACAAAGAGAGAATTATCCTTTGGAGATCTTCAAAGGAGAACTCAGAACTGCAACAATGTAAACTGATTATACCAGTACTGATAACACTCTCCTCAATTATTACATCCTTAATTCCTTAACATTTATACAGAGTCTTTTCCTTTGAAGAAAATTTGAGTTTCTCTGAAGTACAGCTTAGAAATATCACATCTGTATGAGGCTATCCGCTCTAAAAATGTTCTCCTTTACTCAACTCTTTTCCCCAAGTAGACAACACACTCAGCTCTTTGAGAGCTCAATTAAGTATATGCACAGCAAAACAAAACTGTCCTATTTCACCTCATCATTTTCCCATTATGTTCTGATGAACCTTTGAGGAAAACAGATTTAGCGATTTCAGCTCAACTGCTCTCTGCTAAAAGTCAATGGAAAATACTCAGTTCTGCAGCACAGGAATTTGTTTCCAGTGCCCTAAAAAAGGGAACCAAAAGAATTCAAGTGCCAAAATATAATTTAAACATTTCTGAGGAATTTAAAGTCTACATAAGGAAGAGTTCTGCATTATTAAATTCAATAATAGACCATGAACCAGAACTACTGTGGAGTGAAGCCAAATATATTATTAAGGAAGAATGCAAAAATTAAATTCCTATAGTAAAATGAAAAGAAAACCCTAGATGGATGGCAGAAGAAATGCTTAAAATTGTTAAGGACAGTCAGGAAGGGTGACAGAAGTAGGGTCAGAATTCTGAATGCAGCTTTTCAGCAACTATCAGGTAGAGACAAAGAGAACTATTATAACAGACAGTGCAAAGAAATAGAAGAGAACAACAAGAGAGAGAGAGAGAGAGAGAGAAACACCAAGATATCTCTTCCAGAAAATCAAGAAGTCAAAGGAAAATTCAAGCCTAGATTAGGAATGCTGAATGACCAACAAGAAAGCACACTACCTTTACTACAGTAAAGGTGGAAACAGTACTGTATACTGAAGACCTATACAGAAGAGATAAAATGATGACGGACTCTTTTGAAGAAGAATCTTGTGAGGAAGAATCTGCAAATGAAGAGAAAGCATGCTGATGTTCAAGCTGGATTCCAAAAAAGGGAAGAGGCACTCAAGATCAATTTCCAAATATGTACAGTACTGTTTGTCAGGAATCCTTATATTATTGCTCAGGTTGCTAACTTTTTCTTTGTGGTAATATGAAGAAGGGCTTACTTATTGGAAGATCTGTAATAACTTTCCCCTGTTTTTAAAAAACTTTCTATGCTCTTCTTTTTATTGTGTGCAAATTGGTTGATGTATATCTGAAATAGGTCATATTACCATAATAAATGCATATTATAATAGTTGTTGTGGGTTTTTCGGGCTCTTTGGCCATGTTCTGAAGGTTGTTCTTCCTGAGGTCCTCTGAAGATGTCAGCCACAGAGACTAGCGAAACGTCAGGAAGAACAACCTTCAGAACACTGCCAGAGCCCGAAAAACCCACAACAATTAGATCTCAGCCATGAAAACCTTCACACATATTATACTAAATTGCAAATATCCACAAAAGTGGATATTTGTGGAGTGCACAAAAAATTCAGAATAAGATCAGTCTATGCTTTGTAGATGACAACAAAGGCTTTGACTGTGTAGATTATGAAAAACTATGGGTTCTTGTGAAAGAAATACAGTAAGTGTGTCCCAGCACTTGATTGTCCTGATGCATAACCTGTACTGTGGACAAGAAGGCTACTGGCAGGACACAATATGGAGACATAGAATGGTTTCCTATATGCAAACGTATCAGGCAAGGATGCATTTTAAATCCCCATCTGTTCAATTTATGTGCAGAATGTAACATATTGAAAACTGGACTAGACTGAGATGAAAGAGTGAAAAATGGTGGAAGAAACATCTAGGACACACAGATGACACTATCCTTCTTGTGGAAAGCAGCAATGATTTGAAACAACTTTTAGTGCTAGTGAAAGAAGAAAGTGCCAAAGTAGAATGACAGTTGAACATTAAGAAGACAAAAATCATGACTATAGAAGAACTATACAACTTTAATGCTGGGTATGAAGAAATTGAAATTGTTTAAGACCGTGTACGTCTTGGTTCAGTCATTAATCCAAATGGAGACTGCAGCCAAAAATTCAGAAGACTGTGACTTGGAAGGGCACCAATAAAGGAATTAGAAAAGATCATCAGCTGTAAGGATGTGCCACTGGAGATCAATGCTAAGATAATCAGCCCTCACTCTTGGGTTAACCTACTTCACAGGCTTATTGTGAGAATACTATTGTATTCCTGATAACTATGTATGGGCGTGAAAGCTGGACAGTGAGGAAGTCTGACATAAAAAAAGTGATTCATTTTAAATATGGTGCTGGAGGAAAGCTTTGTGGATAATCTGGACTTCTAGAAAAACCAACCAGTTTGTCCTAGATAAAAATCAGGGTTATAATATCTTTGGAGGAATACTACTACTACTACTACTACTACTACTACTACTACTACTACTAATACTAATACTAATACTAATACTAATAATTATAATAATTATAATAATTATAACAATAATAATAATAATCCTCAGCCGCACTAGACGGTTCCAAGTACTCCATACAGAGAACGTTACCATAGTCTTTCGAGACTGAAGGATGCCTAACTAAATAATAATAATCAAATTGATGCTGTTCTACTTTGGACACATCATGAGAACAAGATTTGCACGTTGGAAAGGCTGAAGGCAGGAGAAAAAGAGGAAGACCAAATACAAGATGGATCAACTCCCTAAATAAAACCACAGGCTGGATTTTACAAGAGCTGAGCAGGGCTGCTAAGCCTAGGACAGTTTGGAAATTGTTCATTCTGAGAGTTGTTATAAACTGAAGGCACGTAACAACAAAAAAAAAGTTGTTGTTTAGTCGTGTCCAGCTCTTCGTGACCCCATGGACCAGAGTACGCCAGGCCCTCCTGTCTTCCACTGCCTCCCAGAGTTGGGTCAATGGTCGCAATGACCAGATAGGCGGGGGATTAAATAAAATAAAATAAAATAAAATAAAATAAAATAAAATACATACATACATACATACATACATACATACATACATATTCTAACTGCCCATAGCCCATCAACACAGATATGGCAGCTGCTGGAACTTCTCCATATTTGGAGATGGACACACACACACACACACACACCCTTAATGGTGCAATCATTAATCTTAGAATATTGCACAAAGTCTTGGAAGACCAAGATTTTGCTCCCCGATTCACCACAATGTTCACATGGTGACCTTGGACCACACATTCTCTCTTGAACTAACTAATCTACCTCACAGGGTTGTTGTAAGAAGAGGGGTACAACACAGACAAGCTTGAGCTCCATGAAGGGACAGGTGCTTCCAGTCCTATCCCCACTTACCTGGGAAGAAATCTCATCGGCATTAGATGGTTCAAATGCAGTGGTTCCCAACCTTGGGTCG